TTCATAGTTTTCAGAAGCTTGATGCTAAACTACGTAGCTCAGCTTCCTCTATTAAGTAACCTCAGCTTCGTCTGTTAAGTACGATTTTAAATAACTGAACTTCTCTACATTACTAAGATTCACATTTTTATGGATAGCTACTTCAAACTGAGAATAAAATTCGTTAAACTTTAATATATTGCCATCGTATTGAGGTATCTGCAAGCGAGGAAGTTTTTTTACTGTATTCTGCTGCTCACTTCTGGTTTCTACAACATTCGTTCTTTCAGTTTCGCGAACAACTTCACTTTCTTTCATTTTCAGGATTCTGTTCGCGCGAATTTTCCAAGTAATAATATTATCTTTATATTCTTGCTGTTTTTCAATTTCCTTTTCTATTTCTTCCGTTTTGCACAGTTTTAGAATTTCCTCGTTAAGATACTTTAAATTAGCTTCTTTATCTAAAAGTTTCACTAAAAGTTCATCAATTAAATCAACTGATCTTTCCTGTTTGTTTATTTCAGTTTCTAACAGTTTCATAGTGTCAGTTGCCGTGCGTCTGACAGGTGCTGTAATCTTTTTTAAAGCTTCAATATCCATCATAACAATTTAAATTATTCAATTCGTTAAATACATTTTTCAGTATTCACTTCGCAATTTACTTTATCTAACGGTCTCTTCCAAGTTATCGGCACCAAAAAGATTTGTAAATACGCATATACATTCTTTGTTGGTAAAACTCAATTCAAATCAAAATATAAAGAAATCTCACTTACCTGTCAGACGCATTTTCACCTTTTATCATTTTCTCCATATTTTATTGACGACACAATTAAATACATTTACAACAAAGAGAAGCACATATAAACTTTGGTTAATGTTTCGCGTTGGTGTTACATCTTTCGCAATCTACAAGGTTCTGCACTAGTCCGAAGAATTCAAGCACACACAGCGCCATCTGGTGCATATAGTTTCTACATCATCATCAAATTTAACTATCCTTCACTATATTTCACTATCAAATTTAACTATACTTCACTTTTAAACTTAAGTCCAGTACGAAAATCATATGACACTGTAGCGTTATGTAGACTTTACTCAGAATGCGAAACACATATTCGAGGATTAGAAAATAACGGAATTAATCCTATATTTGGCTATGCATCATGAGCTTGATGACTAACGACAAGTTGTTCTGTTAAATTTTATCTTGCTTCTATTGTGTGCTGAGACAATTAAGCCTGAATTGTATTAGTTTAGTAACTTATTATACTTATGTCTATTTCTTGCACTTGTTTAAGACTTATCAGAGTTCTGAATAAATAAATTTCCACATATATTTAAGCCTTGTTGAGGGCTGGCGCTAGATATCTTACCGCCTGATGCAGTCTTTGTGGGTCCTAAATTTTGCAGCTCGTTGCGGCCATACGAGCCCTGGTGCTGGTTTTGGGTTTATGTGAATAACAAATCAGTTATTCTTAATTCAAATAGCCCTAAATGTAATCTCTGGGTCTATGAGTATCATCAACAAAAATCTATTTTTAGCATCTGGAAAGAAAGTTTTGATAAAATTTTTCCTCGTCAACATTTTTTTAGCGCATTTAACTTAAAATCTGTAATTATCGGCAAGTGTAATGTCAACATAAAAGGTTTCCATACTCCTTTATTATTCAATTACTAACATAAAAAAATTTTTTTTAGTCTTCGCTATATGAGTCATTACTCAAGTTGTCATGGTTTGATAAATGTGATGATGAAAGGAAGTATAATAAATGATTCACCAGGTTGGCGTCAGATCAACGATGTATCTACATGGAATGTTTCGGTTTGGGATGTGTGCCAAACACATATGCAGCAAAGGAGCCAAATTACTGATGATACAAATTTATGCTAAAATGACTGTTTCTTCAATAAAAAGGTATTGTATTTAGTGTCGAAGTGAAATTAAGAATCAGAACTCTCCAGATGTCTTATTATGCGCAGAGGGGGTGGAATCAAATGCGCAAGTATAAAGCCTATGACAAAAACTTTGTTGGTGGTTTTGAGGTCCGGATGATGGACATCCAGATTTCGGACTATGTCTTATTTCCTTTATTGCGGTTTTCAGCCCTAGAAAGATGAATTATCACATAGAGACATATAAAACATGAAAGATGTAGATGAGCTATAACTTTTTGGTTTTTTCCATATAAATTTCTGGGCAGACAGAGCTGTACATCCTCATGTACTATTATTCAAGAAGCCAGTAAGTTAGGTCATCATCACCTAAATGCCTTCTGCAAATGTTTCAAGACATTCATAGAGTTTGGCTGCATGAGGCACATATTTAGTGGTTGGCAATACCTCTAATGTCAAAGAGAGCACTAAAGTTCAGTTTTATTGATTGCTACTGAGCTTTTTTTTTTTTTTTTTTTTTTTTTTTTTTTTTTTTTTTTTTTTACCTTGATAATCTAGAGGTTTAGCATTCAATGCTTAATTGCATGGTTCTTAATTCAAATTCATAACACCATATATCATTCTTGGCAATGATATGTCACACAAAGTTAGTATCACTTTTAACCATTTCCAAGAGTTCTGCAGCCCCTGATAGTGATCTTTTTGTTTTTCTGTAAGTGAATGTGGGATAATTTATAAGTTCAGTCTCCTTTCTCCCAAATTATGTCATAAAATTTGATGGCAAGCCATTTTACTGCTACTATCTTCATTGGCTGGCATATGTACGATGATGTTACAGTCCACATATAGCCTCTTCCTTATGCATCTCATGTTTTCATTAGTAAGATTTAATGGTAGCTAGTTGAAGCTTATACTGACACCTCGCCATTTACAAAATGTCTGTGTCACACAAACAATTAAATTATTGATAAAGACTGCTCTGCATATAGTGCATATATATTTACAAACTCTTCAGTTTAAGATCATAAGAAGAGCTACAGTGAACAGCACCATTTCCATGAAACTGATTTTTGATTCATTCTATTTCTTCTGACTCTAGCTTCTGCCTCAAAACATTTTTGATAAAGGCTGTACTATTACAAATTAGCATGGGAATAGATATTGAGGTAGCATTAAATATGTCCATTTAAATATATGATCCTTTATTAAGATATTAATAAAGAATCATACGTCTGATTTGATATTTGTTATATAATTGATATTTTTCTGTTTTAAGTCTTAGTTTAGTAGCTTCATATACTGACTTACTAAAACTAATTTACCAAAACAAAATCAGGTGTTGAAAAATAGTTAAGATTTCAGAAATATGGCATTAAAGGATAATAGCCACTTGACTAGTATTTGCACAGTGTATCCATAGAATACAGAAATAAAATTTAAATAATAATTAAGTAAATTAAAATATCTGTATATCTATCTTTCTTCATATAATAATGCAGTAGTCTTACTATTATCGAATAGAAAAAGATTAATATTCAGGGAATCTTTATTGCACTTACTGCTTACAATTTTGCCAAGTTTAGCATAAGGTTTAAAACTTATTGTTTATTTTGAAAAGTTACCTGTAAATCATCTGGTAAGTTAGTTTTTAGCGATTGTTAAATAATTATTACATTTTAAACCTTGTTTTTAGAAATTTCAGAAGAAGAATATCAATCCACATGAAAAAATAAAAAAAATAAATAATTCCTTCCCCCTACTCCAAATGGAAAAATTAGCAATTCAAAAGGAAGAAAGTTTGTTGCACAAAGGTAATCTAGTTAAAGCTGAAATAACTGGCCATATTGCAGTTGCTGTAAAACATGTATGGTGAGTTTTACATTGAACAAAAGCATTTTGTCATTGAAACCATCTACAGTGGCATTTGAAGAATTTAAAAAAAAAAAAAAAAAAAGTATATACTTTATTGGATTAATAAAATGACACAACATTGCCAAACATCCTTTGTCAGCAGAATTATGAAAACTTGTGATCCAGAGGGCCAAAAATTATGTAAATTTTATTTTCTATTGTATTTGTTCTTAAAAAAAATTACAAGATCTTTATTAATTTTTTTTTTGTAGCATTTAACTCATGTTGTCTATTTTGGGTAGAACATGGATAATATTCCTTTACTTTTGAATTTTTGTACCTAGTTATCTAATAAATAGAGGACTTTGCTATTAAATGTACTTTGTCAAAATGTACAATTGACCAATTCATTTTTTTTATATATGGAAATTTAAGTTTTGCAGTAAAACTTTTTTAATTTCTCCAGAAATAAGCTTGACTGGGATGTTATCCTTTTTTCCAATCCCCCATTCGATAACAAATTGCTTTATTATACAGCATGTACCTTGGATTGTCGTTTTGAAGACATCTATGAATGGAATGAAGATGAAGGTAGGGGATCTTTACATGGGTCATTGTGAGTCAACATTTGATTCATGCTATGAGGATTCATCCCCAAGTAAAGGGAGCATTTGTAATAAGAAGAGGCTGTATGAGAGTTGGAAGGCATTAGCATGTTAGATGGACGGCAACGCTGATTTCTGAAGTGTTTTTCTTAAGAAAATCTAAAGTTCTCTATACTTGTTTGAACATTTTTTCTCTTTCTTTCATGGTAGCAGTGTATGGTGGGACACACAGCAGATTGTACTTGAGCAAACCTCTCAGAATTTGGATTTTGGTTTTCCAAAATACATGAGGCTGTATACAAAAATAAGTAAATAAGTTAGGCTTGATTTCTGACTGCAACTCAGATTTTACTTTTTGAGAATAATTTTTCATGTTGGCAAAAGTTCATAAAGTAGGAGTGCAGTATTTTATTATATCTCGGAATATCATAAAATATAACAGATTTACTTGAAGCTATAACATTACTTCTAATCATTTCACGTAAGGAATTATTTAATTGACCATTTGAAAAGCTATTAAGATACAGTATGTAAGAAATCATTTGCTATGTTATTAATTAAAAATTACACATTTTTTCTATAAAGTTCACATATAGTTTTCTTTTATTATTAATTAAAAATTACATATTTCTGTATTATGAAGCTCACATATGGTTTTCTTTATTTCAGAACATTTGATTATTACAATAATTACTTACCTCCCAGAGATCATCCTATAAAAACACCTACTGTCATTATTTTGGACTCAGTTACTGGCTTGGTTATGAAACAGTGGGGAAGTGGCATGTATGTTATTATTTTTACCTTTCAAAAATTATTTTATATAGCTTAAATTCTCTATTGATGTATTAGGGAACTATCAAAAAATGTTATGTAAATATGCCATCTGTTCTGTTAGAATGCTTGATTTGATATGAAAGTTAATATCAATGTCAGTTAATATTAATATCAGTTTTAAAGTCATTATTGAAATTAATTGCTGAAACAAATTGCATTTTGATTTTATGAGTATCATTTGAAATATGTATATAGATTTTTTATCTTTTACGTAGATTACTCAGTAAAAGACATAAGTCAAGATATTGAGATCTGCCATAGTAATCTAAAAATGTGTATATAATTTCATTTCCAGTATTTCTTTTTTCCCATGCGCATTTTATAATTTAAGCAAATAAATCGCTACTCACAAGGATATGTTTTTTTAATCCATTTTGAAATATTTTTATCACTTTAATAATTTTACAACTGTAATTGGTTAATTCTAAACTATGGAATTTCAAAAAGCATAGGGGTGTTGATTTTAGAAAGCACCCTTAATTAAAGTACTGTATTAAGGTGGCCTTTAAACTTTCAAGAATGACTGAAATGTTTTTAGAGGACTCCTAAATGTAATAGGGAGAAAGAGTTCAGATTATATGCATCCTGAAGAAGTCTGTCTGAATGTTTTATTTTATTACATCATTTATTTACTTTTTAGCTGTGTTCCAACTTATAGCCATATCTGCCATTTGCAGTCTTTTATTTATTTATTTATTTAGCTCAAGGCTTGCTACCCTCGTTTAATATGAATTACATTTTATATGCAGAGTTACCAACTCTCCATATTTAGGCTGGAGACTCTCCAATTTCCGACCGTATTCTCACCAACCCGATTTACAACATACTTCTCTTATTCTTAAAATTTCTCATGATTTTTATGTAGCTTGGCTTTATAACAAAAAGCAGTGATTTGGGGCATCTGAAAGCACTTGGTTTTTCTCTAGATTACATGCAAAAGAAAACCAAAGTAGATTCATCAGTGAGAAATTTGGCCCACTTATGCTTCGCAAGTGTCCGAAAACGTCATGTTCCAGTTCTCCAATGAGCATTGAGTGCCACTACGTGTCATCTGGCCTATATTAGCCAATGAGCACAAAGCAAGATCGTTGTTATTTCATTCAACTTGACATTGAGCAATGTAGGTGCATGGGCTTTCGAGAAATTATTTAAGAAACTAGAGTCTTTTGCTTCAGTTATGTTTGCGAAAAAGATAAAATATTCATGTACTTTACAAAAGTTGTACATAGATGATTTTACTTCTATTTTCTCGAGGAACACATTTGTAATGTGTACTGTCTCATTGCAATTTTTTGATTTTGCATGGTGGAAGGGCCGATGATCTCAAATATTTGCATACCCAAAAAAACACAATGTCAACATAATTTCTATTGAAAAAAACAAAACATTAATTTTTTCTATGGAAAAACATACCAAAAAGTTATTAATGCAGAATGTCTGTTCTCAGTGTTTTTAGTAAAGCACAACCTGCCATTGAATGCATTGGATCATGCTGCAGCTTTATTTAGAAAAATGTTTTCTGATAGAGAAATCCTTAAGAAATATTCAAGTGCAAGGACCAAAACAGCTGTAATTGTTAAAGAAATGAGTATGGAAAATAAAATTTCAGTTATTGATTGCAATAAAAACAGTTCCATTCAGCCTCTCTAGAGATGGAAGCAATAATACTGATTCAAAACTGTATCCAATTGTTGTTTTCTTTTTTAATCCAGTGTCTTCAGAAACTGAATGTTGTTTACTTTCTGTCTCCCATTTTAAAAGGACATTTGACACGCTTTAATATAGCACAGCTATTCATTAAATCTTTAAAGTAAAATGCAATTCCTCTGGATAATTGCTTAGTATTTAATGCTGACTATGCACCAGTTATGGTAGGCTTGAAGACTCATGTTGCAGGCATCTTAGGGAAAATTCAGATTTGTAAATTATGAGGTGCACACGCTGGGTCCAAGGGACCCACGCAATTAAACAAACCTTTCTCAAAGCACGCCTATTTTATGCAAGTTGTTGAGGTCTAGTGTAGTCGTGTCTTAGATTGACCTTTTTATGTTTCCGAAGTTTTTTCGCTGGGGCTTTGATTTAGAGCCTTGACTTTATCGGATCGGGTTTTTTAGATCCAGCGCGCCTATTCATATTACTATTACATAGTTGATTTGCGATAGTATAGAATGCGGCAAACATGTTGCATAATCTATCTTACTGTGAAGAAATTTTGCAAAAGTTATTAGATAGATCAACTGGCGAAGTGGCAAAAAATGTATTGAAGAAAATGAGGTGGAAGTGATCATGAATTTTTAGTTCACGTGATACTGATTCAGGCAGTGATATAGATTCTGAAAAAATGATTTTCCCCATTAAAACAACTTATGTCATTCTGAGTAAAAATGACATAAGTTGTTTTAATGGGGAAAAATTATCAGAAAAGAAACAAAGAAAGAAAAAAGATGCAGTGTTTGCGCAGCAGAAAAGCACAGGAAAACTAAAACGTGCTTCGCCGAATGTGAAAAATATTTGTATATAGAACACACAAAAACACTTTCTTCAATGCGCTGCTAACATTTGTCATTGAATTTCTTCTCCATGCCTGTAGTGCTAATAAAGAAAATAAGAATCGATATAGAGTAAAGGGATAATATTTTTTTACTATGCTAATATATAATACGATAATATATGATTTGAAGGCACTCCAAACGGAATAATATCTGAATATGTCATATTTCTGATTCCTCAATAAAGAAGATTAATGAGTGCCAAAATTTTATGTACCCTTACTTCGTGTAAATTAAATATCAAACCCAAATTTCTGTATCTTATCTAGAATTTGAACTGGACTCTGTGAAGGAGTTGCTTCCACTGACTACCATCCTGAATGAGGAATAATTAATAGTCTCACAAGCTACAATAGAAAATAAAGGAGAAAAAAAGAGCTGGTAGTTATTCCAGTACCCTCTGAATTAATCTTTTAGTTGGACTGATTAATGGTTGAGTTATATGGAGAGCTAATGACTTTATAGCTATTATAGCTTCTTTACTGGGATGCTTAACTAGTGCCTAATGGATGGAGATAACAACAGTTAATAAATTACACTAATAATGGTACTGAAACACTATTAAGCACAGCTAAGAGGCCATTAAACCACACATTTTTTAAGTACCGGATAATTATAAATCTAAGGTAATTCAGATCTGGTGAGAAAAAAACTTCTGAAACATGCATTCATCTTGTTTTTATTTAGTATGTTGTTTGTTATTAATTACAAATAAAGCCGTTCACAGCACGTTAAATACTCAAAATTAATTTATATATTTGTTGTGCAAGATTTTTATTGTAATCATAGTGCCTGAATCAAAGAAAAAATATTTAAAAAAATTGTATAATTCTTAGTTTGATGAAAATGTTTTATTTTTGGATAGTATTTTCATGTGTTGATAGTACTCTGTATCATGTTAAAACTTCTTTCTAATATTGAAACATTTTGTATGCATTCATGCTGATACTGTATCATTTGTTGTATTAAGATGTTGAAATTAATTATGTAGCTTTATTTTATGCATTGAAAACCTTGAAATTTTAATCATCATAATTATCTTTGGTAATTCAGAAGTTTTGCTGTATTTTATTTACTTATTTTTCAGATTTATGTGACAGTTTTGTGTCTTTGTATTCATGAATGTTGCTTATTTTCAGTTTTTATATGCCACATGGTCTCTTTATAAGTGGAGATGGAAGTTTTTGGTTAACGGATGTTGCGCTTCATCAGGTAATTTTTTCAATAATGTGCATATGTTTTCTTTTTATTCATTTTGAGATAAAGTGATTGACCTGGTGAGCATTTATTCTATACATATTGTACCTAAATATATTATATATTATTTTTTAAATCAATATATTTGTTAATATATACAGTGTGTATATATTTTGGATTAAATTCATACAAAATCAGAAGTTGAAGAAATGACTTACCTTCAGTTGCGCCCTAAAAGGCCTAATCGCTTTGAATCTGAATTGTTTAATCGGTTGAAATTTCCAAACAGCTCCTTATTTTATAAGAAAAAATCATTTGGTTTTTTCCTAAGCGTAGAATCAGTAGTTTTTCCCTTTTCATCGTCGAAAAAGATTGGGAGGAAAAATCTTTCTCAGCTCTCTCAGAAAAATTTTTCAGCCTTAAAAAAAAAAAAAAAAAAAAAAAAAAAAACTTTTTGTTAATTTTTATCATGTCTTAGACATGATAAAAATTAACTCTACCCCCCCTTTTGTCTGGGAATGTTGTCTCACACTTTCTAAAAATAGACCATCACTCCTCCTTTCCTAAAGAATAGAATTCCAAGAATGGGATCTGGTCTATTTTTAGAAACGGTGAGGTGAGACCCTATTCCCAGACAAAAGGCGGGTAGTAGAGTTAATTTTTATCATGTCTAAAGTTCAGGGTCCATCCATCTTCTTATGTGAAACGGTGACCCTGACAAGATCGAGATAAACAAGTCCTGTGAGTTGTTTTGTAATCTTGACGCGATCCAAGAAAGACTTTTTATTATTTTTTTTTTGAAATAGGGGGGGTTGGGGAGAGAAAATGTTCTCACGACCCTCAGATATCTTTTCATAAATATATTTTTTATCAAAGTGTTTCTTTCATTCCGATCCTTTTAAGAGGTTGGAATGACCCTGACATTTAGATGGGGTCGCGATCCCGACAGATGTCGCGCGAGTATAAAAGTGTGTGTCCTCCGCGAGATTTCTTCAGAGAACAGAAGAAGACGTGAACTGAGCTGGTAAGTCCCTTTGGTCCTATGAATATGGTTTTTTTTTTAATAATCATAACTTCATTTAAAAAGACCTTTGAAACTTTGAAACTTCTTAACCCTTTGAAAAGAAAAATGTCTCTTTCAAGACGACGACTCTAAAACGTTTTATTGTTTTTTTTTCCCCCCCTTTCTAGATCTTCCCTGTTATACATATATACCTTTTCGATTCTTCTTTTTTGCTCCTGTTTGTGGAAGACATCACCGTATTCATCGCCATGGCGTGTTCAGAAAACTTTTAGTCTCACCCAAAGGGTTGTCAGACTAATGGCGGAAAAATTTATACCTACGATTGTTTTTTTTCAGAATCATAAGAAAAGTTTTACTCCAATTTTTTGAAAAATTTCAATAAGCTCTTTGAATCAGAATGACATGTAGAAACTCAACCTTCATTCTGTTATGGTTGCAATGCACAATGAACAAAACGAGAACAATTTTTTGCTTTTCAAGACCTTTTACAACAGTTTTGTAAGTAGCATTTATACTGAGATTAAACTCATTAGCTGTCACTCAGAGCGACAGGTGACAAATTTTCGGCAACAATTGCTGAAATTTTTTATTGTTTTTATTCATTTGAGACTGCAAAAGTGGCTGATCTGCATTCATCATCAATATCTTCACATTCATCACAAACTCATCTCTATGAACAAAAAACTGGATTCAGTTAAGGCTTGATTCCCATATGCTTTACACAATATTTCAGATGTCACCATTACTGTTTTTCTTGCTTTATTGCAAAGTTGCTAAATTCTGCTAGAAATTTATTGCTAAATAAAATTTGTGCCTCCCCCCCCAAAAAAAAGTTATTGTTAAATTATGCTAAGTTTTGAAATTCATGACAGCAGATATTCTTTGGATCAAAACAGCGTTTTATTAATTGAACTTGAAATTCATCATGAAGTGATGATATTTTAAGAAAAGTAAATTGAGATGCTCTAGTAATAAATGCTGTCAATTGTAATTTGGCAGGTTTGCTGAAATTTGTTTTTTAAAAAAATCTTGATCTGTTTCTCATTTACGGTCATAAAATAAAAGAAAAAAATTACTTTTTGTCTTTTTATTCAAAGATAGAATCTATTTATTATTATATTTTACTTTGCTAATAATCTAGTTAACTGGTTAATTTTGTGAAGTACTCAGAATTATGAGCGGTTAATTTCTTTTTTTATTGTGGGGATTGCATTCCTTGTGTTATGTCAAGAAGAGAGGTGCCATGTATGCACATTTCCAGGTAAACATTTGTATGTTACTAATAGTTGGCATTCTTTCCCCCCCCCTTTTTTATTTATATATATTTTTTAAATAAGAAATAAGAGTATGTGTTTCTCAAATGTAAACAAAAGTTTGTCTCTTGCTTCCAAAACAGTATGATGTGTTAACATCTCATCTGTTACAGGAATTAATTTTCTTAAAGATATTTTATTACAGTTTTGTATTTTACTTTCTATTTATTATTTCTGGGAGAATATTTTTTATCTATAGTAAACATATTCAGTATAGGGTGTCTAAAAATTATTCGACACATTTCAAAATTATGTTTAAGAAAAAAAGATTTCAGCACTGGCTGTTTTTCTATCTGATATATTATTAACTCTTTATTGTAAACATTTGTTTTGTTCAGAAATTGATAGATGGAGTGGTGAGAATTGTGAGAATTGTAGGAATTAGCTCCAATTGCTAATCATGATATCCATATAACAGAAGATTATTTTAAGGCTTGCCAAATTAGTTTGTCAAATTTATCAGTGTGTAAATAGTTGCCTTAATGAACACTTTTCCAGATGACATGGTAGTCTTATTCTGTTGCTTACCTGCTTTCCAAAAAGTCCAACATATATGTTGGACTTTTTTTCCTTGGAGTTATGGTAAAGATTGTGTTTATCAAACTTCTTGTACTAATTTGCAGAAAGTGAAGCAGTTTATCACAGTATTTATTCTGTAACTCCTCAAATGTTTTCCAATACCTGGCATGAAATCAAATATCACTTGGACATAGTAAGAGAGGTGGAAGAACCTCACATCAAAATTTAGTCACTTTTATAATTGCACTGTTAATGAGTAGAAACATTTTATGTCTATGTCTTCTAGTTTTTCTGTAACAATTTTGAAATGAGTCCAGTGATTTTCAAATACTCTGTGTTGGAATAGATATATCAGAATGAAAGTATGGCTTAAAATAATTCTACATCATCTGTTTTAACTTAAAATTTTATTTTTGGTGTGACAACAATCAGATAATAATGACAGTGCAATAGATAGTAAAGATTCAGGGACTTTTTATCTCTGAATCGAACAATGAAATGAATGAAGATAGCTTTACACTTCAGAAACAGTTTCAGTATATGTTACTTGTACTATTAAGCTCTTTACAATGGATCTTTGTCCCCATCCGTTCTGGGACCCTCAGAATTGTATCTTAGTGTTAGATCACCAGACTTAGGTTTCATATGCGATACAACAAAATGTATAGTAAAATTAATTAACTATATTTTAGTTCTTATAAGCAGCACTAAACTTCCAAAATCTTTTAACTTGAACACTTGGAATAATGAAAATGCTTATATTAATGAAAGAAATATTTAATTTCTAAAAAGAGATAATTATTTAACATTTAAAAATAGTACTTTTTAAATTTTCCTATTTTTAATTAATTTTTAATGATTGGACTGTATGAATTGGGTGTGGCGACAAAATTCCACCGTCCTGTATATTGAAATCATTTGAGCAGTCTGTTCCCCATAATTTCATATGCAAAATCCCTTTCTTGTCCCCAAAGAAAATTAACTTTTTTTTTAGATTGATAATTCTTTAAATATTTTACCAGAATAATCAAAAGGTTTCTTTATTTAATTCATGACCTTCATTAAAGTAAGTTATGTATTTAAGTTCACCAATATCTCTACTATGCTTTAAATAATATATTTGACACTTTTTTTATTTGTATTTTTAATACATACCAAGATTTTTTTATTATTGCTGATGTTTTATGCGTTCTGCAGGATGCGAAGTGTGCATCAAATTTTTAATTCATAACATGACTAACCTGTTGAAAATCTGAGGAAGGTTTTATTATGCTACATTTTCTCCCTAAGTGTTTAAATGAGAGTTAGTTTTATGGTTATGAAACAGTTTTCATCCCTTGATATCTTTTGTATCAATGATAATGTTATGATGAACTTTTTCATATACCAGTACATAATATTGGATATTGAAGAAGTATGCAAGTATTTTGTTTATATTATTAAGTGATTTTGATGTTTTCTGGTTTTACCAGGAGACTCCCAATTTTTCTTCTTATCTCTTGGGCTTCTGGTAAATTTCCAGATCTCGCACAGTTGTTGCTACTTATGCTCACTTGTTTGACAGTAACATCAGCCCAAGCCCACGAAATTCCTCATTGCAAGCAACACGAGATTACGCCTGTCATTGGCAACAGCCTTGAGCACCTTACATGTGACAGTGCAATTTAGCTCAGTTCCGCCCCCAATTTTGATGGAAAGCATCCCCAAGAGGGATGGGTCCGAGGGTCTCCCACCCCTCTCCCTTTCCACCAAACTACACGAGAGGACTTTCTAGCTCACCGCATATGTATAGTGCAGCCATGCCACATCAACACTATACATTTACAAACATCCATGCCTTTTCTGGGATTCGAACCCAGGCCCTTCGGCACGGCAGTCAGCTACGCTAACCGCTATCACTATACCAGTTGGGTGGCACAGTTTTTAATTTATCTGAACATACATCTTCTTTTTCAAATATAATTTTAGAAAAATTATTATTTACTAAAGATTGAAGAAAAAAGGTATGCTATAAAAATAAAAATATGTGACAATTTCCTAAAAAGAGCTAGTCTTAATGAAACCTAATTGTTTTGGGGTGGGTACAGGTTTTCTGATTGATTTTTGTTGAATATAATCTATTTAAGTTGATTACAGAAATTTGTAAAGCATTTTACAGC